CCCCCCCCCCCCCTCTCCATGTGTTAGGTGTGCGTGCACTGGGACGGCGAGCAGAGCGCAGAGAGGAAGTGGAGGAGACTCCGAGAGGAATGTGAGGTGGTTTTGTTGGAGCAGGAACTCGTCTGGGCCACCAAAAGAACCGGCACAAACGGCAGCGGCCAGGAGAAGAGGAGACTGCAACCCGCCCTGGTGAGTCCACAAAAGCCCTCAAAATGCTGCTGGCTCAGGCTGTTCACGGACCATCTGATGCATGTTACACACAAAAATGGCAAGAACTTGAAAGTGATTGGCTGGCTTCATGTAGTCAGATTTGGGGTGCATTGGTTTTTATCAGTCTGGTTGGAGCAAAAGTTTATTTAAAGAGTTCATGACGTGAGAAATCAAATTTGCCTTGATATTTTGGCATATCAGAGGTCTTTGTACCTAGGGGTGGGAGAAAAAAATAGATCCATCGATGCATCGCGATTCTCTCTCCAACGATTCTGGATCGATTCTGAGAATTTCAGAATCGATTCTGAGCTTAGTTTTTAACCAGATGCGCGATGACGCTGAGTTTGCTTTAGAAACACCCGTATTCTGCTTGCTTCCAATTCCTCACATACATACACCACTCAAACCTTCCATAAAATAATGTTTCATAAAGTTCGGAAAGGTTGAAGCTAATTACAAGGACATTCGCAGGCTTCGTTGCACTGGATGCGCTGTGAGAGACGCGTGCTTTGTTTGATGTTACACTTGTAGTGTGCGGTCTCGCCTGTCGGTACTTTCCTTAAGCCCCGTTCACACTGCCAGCGACTTTTTCTCTGCATGTCGCTAGACTCTGTGCTGTGAAGACGCTTGTGGGCGTTCCTACTGCTGTCGGTCTATGATGTCATAGTAAAAAACAACAGTAAAGATGAAGAAAAATCACTCACAGTTCTTGAATGGAAAACATTCAGATAATCTTAAATACTGAAAGCACTCTTTGTTTGTTGTTTGTAATATGTTTCTATGCTCCTCTTTATTATTTGCTACTTGCTTGTATGTTTTGAAGGTATATTAACTAACATACAACTGTTTAAAATTAGTTTTTTTTCAATTTGTAATTATTTTAAAAAGTACTTAATTACTTATGTAAGGATATGTAAATGTAAGGATTTTAAGACTCTCAATTTGGTAAACTAATTAATTAATAAGGGGGAAAAAAGTAGATCAAGAATCGTTCTGGAATCGGATCGTGACTCCCGGAATCAGATCGGATCGTGAGGTGACTAAAGATTCCCACCCCTATTTGTACCATTAAAACATCTTGTAAGTTTCATAGCTTAACACGTCCTCCTCTTTATAAACAAAGCATTTATTTAATCAAGCTCCAAAAAAGGCTAGTTTGGATCTAAGTTGACAAATTACATCATGGGTCACAAACATTTGCATAAACACTGCCTCCAGAGCAAGACATCTACGAATAGTTATCTTCTCACCATAGGCCCCGCCCAATGGTGTTCAGCTGCTAACACTTGATTAATGCGAGTGTCATGTTGCATCAAAAGCAAATAGAAATTCCAATCACTGCCGCTATCTTGTCTACCGTGGATACAGTATATAGATGCGTGTTTGCTTTCGGACACAGTCAACGCGCTTGAGTCTGTCGTCAATAGGACAGCGTAAGAATCAAGTGGATAGTTTATTTTTAATGGCATCGCGTATCGTGTCAGAGGATTGTTCGGAGCTTTTTGTTTTGTAATCGAGGCACAGTGTCACGGAGAGATCACAAAGAAGCATTTGTTGAAAGATGAAGCAGTACTAGATCTGACTGCAGCTGCATATTCTTTGAAATACTGATTTAGCAGCCCTTAAACTTCATGCTCAAAAGTGAGCTGTGGTTTGTAGCGATTGTAATGTCAGTCTGACTTCCGCTTTAAGCTGCAATGTGAACCACACTTTATGCTGATAGCCAGATACATGAGACTGCCTGTGTCTGAACACTCAACACATGTATTTATGAAGTCACTCAGTGCAGAATGAATGAAACTGATGGGCTTTTGTTTTCATATCTGGACTTTCCACCAAAGGAGACTGACTGGCTGATGTGTCCTGTTTTATATGTCCTAACTGCTGTTAGACTGAGTCATTAGTTGCCTCTGTGTCATAAAGTAAAAAAAACAAACATTTTCCACATTTTCCAGACGGCAGATCAAACACTTTAATGCAGTCATTTGTGCCACTACAGGCTCATACTCTACGATCCTGCATTATGTAATCTCATCTATGACGTCTATGACAGCAGGTCACTGTGGCTGACCACGTGTTATTATGGGCTACCGTGCGTAACCTGGAGTAACCATGGGTTACAGCCATTTACATGGGTAAATGGGGTAACTGTGGCAACAGAGCTCTGTTTGACCAACGGGCTGCAGAGATAAGAGTGAACAAGAGTGTGTGTGGACTTCCTCCATTCAGAGCACTGTGTGTGTATAGCTGTGTTTGATAAAACAGTGTGTGTGTGTGTGTGTGCTGGGCAGAGTGTTATTGTGTGTCAGGGTGGTCAGTATAAAAGGTATTTCTGTAGCAACATCTGAGAACGAGAGAGAAAGAGCAATTTTACACAGCTTCTACTGATTCCTCTGTTCTCATTTATCTGACTCTGCCAACACACAGACACACATTCACCTCTTTCTTTCCCTTTTCATGCACACTGTCTTTTCACTTTTTTACTCCTCTTGCTTTTTCTTCCTCTTTTAGTTCTTTCTCAATGACGCACACATCTTGGTCTCCCCCACACACACTTATAAGATAGGTTTTCTTGTGATTATCAATGTGGAAAACCGTTGCGATACATTTAATTTCAGGATTCTGTGATAGAGTTCCAAAGAACCCCATTTGAAATGAAATCTTGTAATGTTATAAATATCTTTACTGTTACTTTTGATGAATTTAATACATCCTTGCTGAATTAAAGCCTGTTCACAGCAAGGAAGATAACTGTAATGATAACTACAGTTTTAATAATTATTCTAATTCTGTGAGAATTGGGAAGTCCACACCACAACTATAACAATAAAGACACAGAGGAACAAGATCGTTAGAATCACTTTCAGAACAATTTTTTTCCAGCTGATGAATGAAACACTGACAGCCAATCCGAATCTTCTGACTTTAAAGTTCTTGAGTATTTAAAGCAGCAGATGACATAATCGCAGTTCGTGTTAATTATGTTAGAGAAGATTAATGTGGATGCTAACATAATTATCATTATAGTTATCATTCTTGGTGTGTACGGGCCTTAGAAGTTTTAATTTAGTAATTATTAAAGTATTATTTATTTAAAACTAATTTTACTGACCCCAAACTTTTGAATAGCAGCTTGATTCCGTTTGGCTAATGAACATTCTAAGGTGTGCAATTATTATTCAGGAAACACATGGCTAAAGTAGTTCCAGGCAGTTCTTGATCACATTATACTTCCATATCACTTCGCCAAATGATTTAAGTTATTTCAAAGGTCCTTACAGCCTACAACAGCAAAGGAACACAAGCCAATACATATGACAAATAATAGGATAAAATATTTCCCTGTTTTTCCCATAAAGTTATATTTTTTTATTGACAGAAAGCACACTCACTTTAGTACAGGCAGTACAATACAGATATGCACTCGCGCACACATGGAAACATACAAGCGCACAGAAACTTGTTGTAAGTGCTGTCCCATGACTTTATCAACAAAATAGTTATGACATTTCTCAATAGCAAGGTGGTAACGTCGCTGTTCTTGAAGCAGTTAAACTCACAGACAGGCAGTCTCTCTCTCTCTCTCTCTCTCTCTCTCTCTCTCTCTCTCTCTCTCTCTCTCTCTCTCTCTCTCTCTCTCTCTCTCTCTCTCTCTCTCTCTCTCTCTCTCTCTCTCTCTCTCTCTCTCTCTCTCGTCAATAATTTATATATCCTAACTGAGCTGTAATATACTAAATGATCATGTCACATAGTTTTTGAACAAAGTAAATTAAATAATTTACAAATAAAAGAAACTACATCTAATTTGATTATTTTCTGTTGTATTTGGAAATTATGATAAATGCAAACCAAAAGATAAGATTATTTATAAAGAATTCATAATTAATTCAAATGAATAAGTGTGGCATCAGTGCAAAAACAGCTTTAGATTTGATTAAATATGATGTGGTGAATCATGTTTGAAGCTGTTATAAAATAAGCGAAATGCACACCCCTATACACTAGTGTTCAGATTGATATCAGTGTTTTTAAAAATTGTCTTGTGGATATGGCATAGCATAATCTTTGTCATTAGATATATACCTTCATATGAAACCCTAATATCTAATACCTAATACTAGGGCTGTCGCGGTGAGGGAATTTCCCTTTTGCGGTAATTTTGAGTGGCTCAATAGCGCGGTATTATCGCCATACATATACACACACACACACACATATGTGTTACGATATAACGAACGAGGTCATATTCAGAAAACAATGAAACCGAAACCAAATAGCGTTGAAACAGGAAGTGAAGTAAACAGAAGAGAATGACAAAATAACAGTCCACTCCACATAACAGAACATAAACCTGACAATAATCTGATGTTCTAATCTTACTGGACGAGACTTTCTATTGATATGTCCACCTGCGCGCGTGCGTTCTAGACGGGCTGTCAGTCAGTGCAGTTAGATAGTTGTGCCACAAGGTGGTGGAAAGGGACTGTCATTCAACTGCACGTTCAAAAACGCTGATTCATTCATTCAAAGAGAGACGTAATGAAACACGCTGTTGAAATCATTTTAACTTTGAGCGCCACTTTAGAAGGCTCAGCTGACCAGCTATGCGTTGATGCTAAGACAGAGATTTGGCTTTCTTTGGACATGACAACCTATTTTCACAAATATATATGACTCGGCCTGAAGGACAGATGCAAGTAATCGCACGAGCTCAGTCGATCTCTCTCTCATTCACTGTCTGTTTAGGCTTGTTAAGTGAAAATCTACGGAGCCTCTGTACAAATCAGCATGGTACACATTATGTTATCGTTACTAACTTGTTTAATATTCAGTCCACATGCATGAAGTGTAAAACGAGAAGGGCATAACCTTACGAAAAAGGAAAACATGCAAAAATCGCGGTAGCTGCAGTTCTTGCATTCCGTGGTTTGCTCGTCAATAGCACAGTATTGCGATATTGCGGTTATCGCGACAGCCCT